CAGAACCAAAACCCACCACTACAGGTTCAGGTTTGACCCTAGGCCCCGGCAAAGCTGGCACAGCAATGAGCATAGGATGTACTTCCTGCTCTGTGGGTTGATCTAAGAGCACTTCTGTGATTGGTGCCAGTGTCATGGGTCCTCAGTGGTGAGTGAAATTGGGAGCCATGTTCCAAGGGGATGATGTTCCCTCCCTGCCTTCATGGGAGAACTGCTGGGAAGGAGAGAGAGGGGAGGTGCTCATTACCCCACAGGGTAATCAGAGGGATAGAGCTCAGAAACTGCTCCATCCCGCTGGGAGAAGAAGAGGCGATGATGCTCTTCCTCTTCCTTTTGGCGAATCCTCTCCAATGCATTTCACTGCCCTCAAATGAACCCAGCTGTCGGAGATTTCAGAGCATGTTCTCAATGTGTGTGAGGGATGCCCAGGAATCCTGTTCGTTAACCCAGTGGCACATAAGGTGGCATCTTCCCAACAGGGGCCTGGGACAAAGCTTTCAGGTGTTGTCTCTGAACCTGAGCATGTGCTTCTCTAAGTGGCTAATTTCAGATTGTGCAGACAGGGCGGAATTTACTTTGCTGCTGCCCCAGACTTCAGCACATCTCAGCTGAATTTGCTATTCCGTCTTAGCTGTGATCACAGTAAAACCCAGCCAGCACCTACCTGCTGTGCCATTGAGAAAGTCTCCCAGAATCAGCGTATAGTTCTCAGATTCTCCTAAAATTTGGAATGATTTGTACTTGGCAAAATACTTCTCAGTTTCAAAATCCATGAGGTCGATGCGCAGCTCATTATTTCCTGTTAAAAACGGGAAGAATATCAGCAATTCCGTGTCTTCCACTAATATTTTTCAGGATCTGGGTTTGTTACATCATTCATCCACCAGCCTATCCCCATATGCTCAGTCTGGGATGCCTTTAGTAACCTAGTTTCATGCCCCTCTCTCTCCTGTCCATTAGCAAACAGCGCTCACAGCTAACATCTGCGCTCCAGCGAAGTGATCAGAATCTATAGCATCCATCTCTCTATGGCCTCTGCCAGTACCAATCCACTGACAAAGCAGCAAGGGACAAGTTCAGCTCCTGTCTTAGCTCTGATGGTTCAACAGATAGTCTTTGTTACAGTGAGTAGGACAGAACGGTACATCTCCAGATCTGTTCACTTAATGCTCTTTAAGGTGAGCTAGCCTTGACCGGAGCCCAAAGAGCTCCCGTGTAATCTGTCTCAGAAGCTTTTCCTTGCAGGTTTCTGTGTGTCAGGAGCAGCCAGTGGTGAGTCTGGGAGCAGTTTCACTACAGCTGGTGTGTACCAGCATAGTCCAGTGGACAGGATGCACAACTTGGACTTAGATATGGTCCTCATCATGGCTCTTCTACGACCTCATCTCTGCGTCCCTCAAATCCCCATTCACCAAGTGGGGTTAATGATACTTACCCTCCTTTGCAAAGCACTTTGAGATCTACAGATGAAAAGCACTACATAAAGCTACCATATTATCATCACTCTGGGCCATGTTACCAAGGAAACGGAGGGCATGGTGATTATATAGATCTATATATATTAAATTGCATCTGTGATTTCTTACCTTGAGATGTTAGCAGGTGAATGTTGTCGTTTCCCAGCCAGAATTCCATCTGCTGGTTGCCAAAACCTCTCTTGTATGAGTCCCAGTCACGGAAAAAATCCTCTGAACCATCCACCCGTCTCTGGAAAACCTGCCAGGAAATTAGAGAACCTTAGGTGAAAAGATGGTCGCATTCATTTTAGCTGTATGTGAATAGCTGCTCAGTTCTTCAGTTCTTCAAGGACAAGTTGTCAGCGTAGTACGCACTATGGTTAATCAGAATATGTGTGAACATCTATGTAAGAGTTTAAAATGTACCCCATAATTTGGACATCCTTTTCATCAGCTGTTTGAGAAAGGAACAGCTGGTGAAAAGGGTGAAGCTGAAAGCCTTTCCCGTGACCAAATCTTGAGGTCCTTACTGAGTTTTTAGTCATTCCTTAATAAGGGGAAAATCCCATGGAAGAAAATTGGAGTTTGCCCTAGTGGAAGCTCAATAAGGCCCTTAAGATTTGGTCCAATGTAATTAAAGTCACCATCATCAAGATCCTTCTTAATATAATTGCACCGAAGAAATGGGCCCTGACCCAGCAGAGCTCTTAAGCACATGCTGAACTTCAAGCATGCGCGTCATCTCATTGGCTCAGACTATACATGTGCAGGTGAAAAACTAGGCAAGAGCTCATTGCCATCCTGAAACACACACACTTGTTCTACGCAAGGGCTCCTGGGGAGGCTCCCTACGCTCTAGTCTCACTTACAGTCCAGCCTCCTCCGTCTGTGGCCATGTCACACAGCACAGTCATGGCAGTGCAGTCCGAAGAGTAAACGGTGTACCAGCCGCTCAGGGTGTTCCCTCTGGCCAACAGCTCCTTGCAGCTCCTCGGGCCTGGGCAAAAGGGGCATTTAAAGCAGTAAATTATACTGCGTCTGAATGGTTTTACTGAGGCAAAGGCAACTTCTTATGACAATTGAACTGTTCTCAGGCTCGGGCCCTACACTGATTATTTTTGTATATGTCCACCCCAGACAAAGCGTAACTGTTTTACATACACAGCATTTTCATGGGTTTGCTACAGAAACCCTGGCTACCATTGAAAAACAACGTCGCTACAATGTAAGTGTCTTTGTGGGAATTAATTTTTCAGCATCACACTGGAAATGCGAACTCCACCTTTCCTCAAATGGGCTCCCACGGCCTTTGAAGCTGGATCATCTGTTCTCTGCTGTTGGGCCAAATCCTGCCTGCCTGACTCCGGTGAGTGACTTTGCTGCTGGGAGTATTTCTTTGGGTAAGGCAAGCAGGAGTCGGCCCCTTGTCATTAGCAGCAGGTGTGTGTAACTGCCCCCCCGTGTCATCCTGTCCTGCTAGCAAGGATAGAACTTCTTCTACCGAAGTGAAGGAAGTTTCCATACCCCTTGCCTTGTGGGCTGCCCTGTGAGGTAAGGGCCATGTCCCCCGCCATTACAGCAAACACTCACCCTTTTTACACAGCTGGTCCGCCAGCGCCTCCTCTGTGCAGGAAAAGGAACACAACGGCAGTGAAATGGGAGCACAAACAAAGCAGTGTGTTGTTTCTAAACAGCTGTTCACTCCTGCAGTTTAATAGTTCTGACTATTTATTTCAGACAAAATGTTTCAGAGGCAAAGAAAGGAAAAAGCCAAATTAGAAAGAGACCAGCAGCTTAGCTATAGAAGGAAGTGGAAATTATGAAAGGAGATGTTTAAAAAAATGAAGCCAATCATTTCAATAGTTAAAGAAGACACAGTTAGGGTTTTTACTCTGTTTCCCTTGCCTTGATTTGTAAGACAACAGACAGGAGCAATGTAATAGAGAGAATGGACCAAGTTTGCCTTAACTGTGTCCTGTTTAACCTGTGTCCATTGCAAACCAGCTGACTAGCTTAGACCTGCCCTGATCCGGTCTTGGGGCCCGGTTCTTCCGGGCAATAAGCTCCTTCACCTCCCATTGGCTTCTGTGGAATAGGGGATGGGTTCAGCATGTGACGGGAGACACAGAGCACCTCACATGTTGTGCCCTTACAATTAACAGACTAAACAGTCAACCCAACTGTCAGTCCACATGCAAACACACTGAGCAAACTGGCTGAGCCAGAGGAGGTCAAACCTTGCTCCCACTGATCTCAAAGGCAAAACTCTGATTGACAGCAATGGGAGCAGGACTGAAGCCAGGATGGGAAGATTCGTACAAATCAACTAATTATCAAGTAAAAGAAATATTCCCTCTTCAGTGCATGCTTGTAACTGCTATTGAGGGGAGGTTCATTCACACATCAGTGGTGGCTGAACAGGCCCTGCCACGCTGTGCAATCGGGATAACAGAAACCAGTGTCATGTCTGGCTAATATTCCGGAGAGAATCTGGGTCCCACTCCCTGTGACTTAACCCCTGAAAATTCTCACTGCTTCCTTTTCCGCCTGAGAGCACCGTGGTGCTGGGCGCATGAGCTGAAGTGATTGAACTGGGGCCATGTGTTCCCAGGCAGATGCATGTAGGAAGTACAAGAAATCATAAGTTACTAATAGTCCCTCTCCAAAAGCTCAAGCAGTGAACAGCCAAGCTCCCCTACAGGTTATGATGCCTCGGGCCAATTTGCTACTTTAAAAAAGTGCCAGGCAAATGAATAGTATAAAAACAGAGAGACACACAGGTTTGGGGAGTGTTGTTTTTAAAACGCTGGAAGAACCATGGAAAATAGAAAGTATGAAACCTGGATAAGCAACAGAGCCCAGTGCACAAAAAATGCAGCTTCAAGCACTTTCCCTTTAAACATTTAGGTGAGCGTGGCCCTATGGTGATGGGCACTTTGGAAATAAGAGGTAAGGTAGGGCCAAATTGAAGAATATGTAGAGGCGTGTAAGCTATATTGAGTGTGACACACTCGGGGCTTTGCTACAATATAACTATTGTACCTGTTTCTAGCAATGGTGCTGCTGCTAGTGTAGACACGGCCCAGGCTTTTCATGACACTGTGCTAAAAACAGCTGAGCCCAGCCCCTGTTACACCATTGCTGGCCCACATGGAAGTGCCCTAATGGAGAATCTCAGGTCTGGGTTTTTACTACGTTGGGCCCCACTCTCGGGGAAGGTAAATGAGTGTGAGTCTAAATTGGTGTAAAGGGAGCTGGGAGTTGTGAGTTACACCAATTTAGACTCCCTTATTAGCCTTAGGGTAGGTCTATACTTCGATCTAGGGGTGTGATTCCCAGGTCAAGGAGACAGACCCACTAACTCTGATCAAGCTAGTGCACTAACATAGAACGTAGCTACAGCGGCGCGAGCGGCAGGAGTGAGCAGCTGCCCTGAGTATGTGCCCATCTCAGACCATGGGCATGTGTTCAGGGCGGCTGGCCTCTCCCATCGCATGTGCCGCAGCAGCATGTGCTGCTCTCTATTAGTAGCATGCTAACGCAATCAGAGCCAGCACCTCCTCCAGCTGAATTAGGCTGGTAATCGCAAGGATGGGGGAAGAGCTCAGAATCGAGATTCCCTAGTGATCAGTTTTCCTCTTGGTTACCCCAATACACCCTTGTTGATTTCACGACGGTTATACACCATTGTAACTGAGAGGAGACCCTACCCCTCTGGGGTATGCATTGGGGAAATGTACCATGGAGGGAAGATGCAAATGGATTAAGAATCTCTCCTGCTATTTAATCACAGGCTGAATGAACAAAGTTGTTCTCTGCTCTTTGGTACTTTACCTCTTGCCCCTGGTGGTCCTCGTGCTCCAGGCATCCCTGGTTCTCCTGGTGCTCCAGGAATCCCTGGAGCACCAGGCATTCCTACAAACACAGGAGTCTCAGAATTAATATTTGACAGCTGTAAGTTGCGGACGATATTTTAGGGTTGAACAAGGGAGAGGGAGAGGGGAAGGGCAGTTTCTACAGGGCACTCCCTAGTCCAGATTTCAAAAGTAGGGTTCTATTTTTCACTCTGTCCCTTTGCCGATGGCAATAGGAAGTGGGAATAGACCAGTACCTTGCCTGGCCCTAGCAAAATCTGCCATTTCCTCTGGGTCTACCATATTTGCAAATCAGCCCTCCTGTTCCTGCAGTTCCTCACGGTGCTCTGGGCAGTACCATGACCCAGGGAGCATTTGCAGGTGGTTGGCAGAGATCACTGGACGAAAAGGCTGAGGATACGGTACTGTGGTGGGATCTGTATGAGGGACTCCTCAGGACAGGGATCAAAGGAGGCAGAGTTAGGGTTGAGTGGCTATGTTATGCAGGAAGTATCACCTTAGCTTCTGGTTAATTCCTGGTTTTCAAACCTATGTATTTTGTTTTTTCTTCTAATGCTAACTTCTCATAAAGGGGTGTGTAAGGGGACATCTGTCTCTCTCTCTATAAGGGCTTTATACTGCCACCCATCAGCATAGTATCTGAGCACATTCCAGGGCAGATCAATAGCGACAGCAAAGGAGGTGCACAGCTCGACAGGGAGGAGAACTATCCCCAGGCTCTCACCCATCCATCCAGGGAGGCCAGGAAGTCCTGGTTGTCCTGTTTGAAAATGAAATCATAGAATCAAAGACTTTAATGTCAGAAGGGACCATTATAATCATCTAGTCCAGTGGCTCTGGTGACCCTTTTCGCATAGCAAGCCTCTGAGTGCGACCCCCCTTATAAATTAAAAACACTTTTTAATATATTTAACCCCCTTATAAATGCTGGAGGCAAAGCGGGGTTTGAGGTGGAGGCTGACAGCTCACGACCCCCAATATAATAACCTTGTGACCCCCTGAGGGGTCCCGACCCCCAGTTTGAGAACCCCGGGTCTAGTCTGACCTCCTGCACAATGCAGGCCACAGAATCTCACCCAGGCACCCCTGTATCAAACCCCTAACCTATGTCTGAGCTATTGAAGTCCTCAATGGTTTAAAGACTTCAAAGGGCTGAGAATCCTCCAGCAAGTGACCTGTGCCCCACGCTGCAGAGGAAGGTGAAAACCCCCCAGGGCTTCTGCCAATCTGCCCTGGAGGAAACGAAAAGAATGAGCAGCGATGACTTATTTGTGGCTTAGACACCATGGACCTGATTCTGAGCTCTGACCCTGGGGTCAATCAGAAGCAGCTTCAATGAGTTTATTTGGGTGTGAGAAAGAATCCAGGCCCCAGGGGTGCAGCTGCTCCTCCTGGGCACAGTCCGGCACAGGGGACAGCGCAGACACACCACCTTAGCGGGAGCTCCAGGAGGCACGGTCCCAGCTGGAGACCCCGGGGGGCACAGCACAGAGCTACCCTTGAAGAGGACCCAGGAATTACCCTTCTCTGAGACTGGCCCAATCCACTCACTGGAGGTGCTCAGACATGAAGCTGTCTAGGGCTGTGCGTTGGGGGTGAGGCAAAGCCGTGCCTTCACCACTGCTCCACGGCAGTGAGTGGAGTTGGGTAGCGGCAGAGAGGGACACGCTCTCAGTGACACCAGTACCCGACTGGTTCCAGCTGGGGTGTTCACCAGTGTAAGCGAGAAGAGAACCCACCCCTTTGTGCATGCACTTTTGGGAAGATCCACGCAGTCTAAAAACCTCCCCTGGATAGTTAACTCACAACGTTCCCCTCTGCTCTTTAGTACTTTCC